AAATAAACTCATAAACAAAGCAATAAACAGTAACAATAACACCACGACGCATTAAAAACCTATGGCAGGGCCAAATGTAATAATTAATTTTTTAAAAATGCTGGGCATGACAAGGTGACATATAACTAGGATAGGTATTTGGAGAGAGATGAAGCGAGCAGACAATCCTAGATCATTAGTAAAGTGCGATTAGGGACATGTTGCTTAGGGTTTCCTTATTCTGGGAAGGCACACTGGAACAACCATGTTTTCAGGCTCCTCTTAAAGACTGCCAGAGTTGGGGCATGCCTAATGTCCTTGGGGAGCAAGTTCCAGAGTCGAGGGGCCACCACTGAGAAGGCCCTCTCCCTTGTCCCCACCAATCGCGTTTGCGATGGAGGTGGGATCGTAAGCAGGGCCTCTCCAGATGAACGAAGAGATCATGTGGGTTCATACACAGAGATGCGGTCACGCAGGTAGGTGGGTCCCAAACCGTTTAGGGCTTTGTAGGTAAGCACCTGCACCTTGAATTAGGACCGGAAAATGAACGGCAGCCAACAGAGCTCCTTAAACAGGAGGGTTGACCTCTCTCTGTAAGGAGCACCAGTTAACAACCTGGCGGCCGCCCGTTGGACCAGTTGGAATTTCTTCCGGGCCATTTTCAAGGGTAGCCCCACGAAGAGTGCATTACAGTAATCCAATCTGGAGATGACTAAGGCATGGACCACCCTGGCCAGATCAGCCTTCACGAGGTATGGTCGCAGTTGGAGCACGAGTCTTAGTTGTGCAAAGGCCCTCCCGGCCACCGCTGACGCCTGAGCTTCAAGCGTAAGTGATGAATCCAAGAGGACACCCAAACTGCAGACCTGTGACTTCAGGGGGAGTGCAACCCCATCCAACACAGGTTGCCACCCTATACCCCAATCTGGTTTACGATCGACCAAGAGGACCTCTGTCTTGTCGGGATTAATCTTCAGCTTGTTCCTCCTCATCCAGACAGCCACAGCAGCCAGGCACTCGTCCAGCACCCGAGGGGCTTCCTTGGAGTTAGGTGGAAAAGAGTAGTAGAGTTGTGTGTCATCTGCATAGAGATGGCACCCAACTCCAAAACTCCGGATGACCTCTCCCAGCGGTTTCATGTAGATGTTAAAAAGCATGGGAGACAGAATAGAGCCTTGCGGGACCCCACAGGTCAAAGGCCAGGGGTCCGAGCAGGCGTCTCCCAGCTTCACCATCTGGGATCGACCCTCCAGGAAGGACCGGAGCCACGACAGAACCGTGCCCCCGAAACCCATCCCAGAGAGTCGTCCCAGAAGGATACCATGATCGATGGTATCGAAAGCCGCTGAGATGTCCAAGAGAACCAACAGGGTCACACTCCCCCTGTCCAGCTCCCTATGGAGATCATCCACCAAGGCGACCAAAGCTGTCTCAGTGCCATGGCCAGGTCTGAAGCCAGACTGTGACTGATCCAGGTAGTTGATGTCATCCAGGAAGCCCTGGAGCTGAGCAGCGACCACCCACTCCAACACCTTGCCCAGAAGGAAGCTTGGAGATTGGTCTGTAGTTGTTATGGGATCATTCCAGCCTGGTGTCCTTGGCAAAACTATAAATTCCCTAATTTTGAATAATCTTTTACAGAGTCCTGCTCATCCAGACAGCCACAGCGGTCAGACACTCGTCCAGCACCCGAGGGGCTTCCTTGGAGTTAGGTGGAAAAGAGTAGTAGAGTTGTGTGTCACCTGCATAGAGATGGCACCCAACTCCAAAACTCCGGATGACCTCTCCCAGCGGTACATTTTTCTGCCTAAAAAAATCTTTTTTCTCCAACTAAAGCCCTACAATTCCATTTTGTCTGTGAATGAAAATCCTCCAGAAGGCTTCAGCACACTCAACTATTGAGAGAATACTACGTAGAATTACTAGGTAGGCTGCTATACATAGAAATACTATACAGAAATGTTTGTTTTCTCTCCACAGCCAGGAGGAAACTACAGTAATTATTTGCCCTTGCAGTCAAGGATGCAGAATTGAGGATTTACATCCCTAGCCTTGTTGGCTATGCACCAATAACAACAAAAAATGCAAAATGCATATCATGGTGATACCTTTATTAGTCCAACCCAAAGCCAGAAAAGAGAGTATGTTAGCATTTCTGGAGGCCTCTTGGGACTCAATGTACTCTGCCTACAAAGTGGCTTGCTGTTTCGCACGGGACAGAGGCTGCCTGGATCTCAAGGGAAGTTCCTTTTTGGCTGCTAATGGAAGTGTTATTGCCCAGCTTTTACTGCTTTTGGCCTCAGTTCCTTCATGGCCAAGATGTGACGCAGGCTCTTTCTAAATCAACTCTCCATCCAGTGTGCCTTCAATTGCAACCTAAGCAAACATCTCCAAGAAGATGTAAACCAGGAGGTTCCAACACTTTTCTTCCCTTGTGTGATATTTATCAAAGAGCCAGTGGGGAGGAGTGGCTTAGTGTTGGGCCAGAAGACCAAGGTTTGGACCTCACTCAGCCGTGGAAAGCCACTGTGTGACTTTTGGCCAGACATGATCCTTCAGCCAATGGTAAACCTAGCCAAACATCGGACCAGGGGACTATGATTTAAATCCCCATTCATCCATGAAAACAGATTAAGTAGACTTGTGCAATCCGGGTAAATCTTGACTCCTTTCAGGTGCCCTGACAAATTTGTGAACATCCTGTGGCTCCTCCACGATGACATGATGGCAACAGTTTTGGACAGCAATGGCTCCTAAAGTGACCCATTTAAGGTGGAATCAGATGTCAAACAGGGATGTGTTATTGCCCCAACTTTACTCTCCATCTTCATCGCTATGATACACTATGATACTAGTTTGTGGGAAAATAGGCCTTCACATTTGGGAGTTGTAGTTGCTGGAATTTATAGTTCACCTACAACCAAAGAGCATTCTGAACCCCACCAACGATAGAATAGGGCCAAATTTCCCACACAGGACCCCCATGACCAAGAGAAAATACTGCATTTTCTGATGGTCATTGGCAACACCTCTGACACCCCCTGGCAACCCCATCCCAAGGGTCCTAACCCCCAGGTTGAGAAACATTGGTCTAACAGATCCCATCCCATATGTTTTCCTACTCTTTCTCCTGTTTCCACCTGCGTCAGGAGCTCAGAAGATACTTTCTCCCCATCTCCTTTAGATACTTTCTCCCCATCTCCTTTAGATACTGTCTCCCCCATCTCCTTTATCCCCGTTTCTGTACACTTCTACAAAATTTCAGGAATGAAAGGCAACAAATGACAACCGGAAGTAGTTTTACTGGGTTGTTGTAGGTTTTTAAATTATATTTCAGAGGAAAGCAATGGGTTGCCAAATGTTGAGAGACAATTATTATGGGTTGTTGTAGGTTTTTTTCGGGCTATATGGCCATGTTCTAGAGGCATTCTCTCCTGACGTTTCGCCTGCATCTATGGCAAGCATCCTCAGAGGTAGTGAGGTCTGTTGGAACTAGGAAAAAGGGTTTATATATCTGTGGAATGACCAGGGTGGGACAAAGGACTCTTGTCTGCTGGAGCTAGGTGTGAATGTTTCAACTGACTACCTTGATTAGCATATAATGGCCTGACAGTGCCTGGAGCAAACTTTTGTTGAGAGATGTCCTTGTTTCCTCTCTGTTGTTGTGCTGTTGTAATTTTAGAGTTTTTTTAATACTGGTAGCCAAATTTTGTTCATTTTCATGGTTTCTTCCTTTCTGTTGAAATTGTCCACATGCTTCTTGTGGATTTCAATGACTTCTCTGTGTAGTCTGACATGGTGGTTGTGAGAGTGGTCCAGCATTTCTGTGTTCTCAAATAATATGTTGTGTCCAGGCTGGTTCATCAGTGCTCTGCTATGGTTGACTTCTCTGGTTGAAGGAGTCTGCAGTGCCTTTCGTGTTCCTTGATTCGTGTTTGGGCAATGCTGCTGCGTTCGGTGGTCCCTCAGACTTGTCCACAGCTGCATGGTACACGGTAGACTCCTGCAGAGGTGAGTGGATCCCTCTTGTCCTTTGCTGAATGGAGCATTGGTTGGATTTTCTTGGTGAGTCTGTAGATAGTGTGTATGTTGTGTTTCCTCATCAGTTTCCCTATGCGGTCAGTGGTTCCCTTGATGTATGGCAGGAACACTTTTCCTCTGGGTGGATCTTTGTCTTGACCGTGGCTTGTTCTCGGTCTTGCAGCTCTTCTGATGTCTGAGGTTGAGTCTCCATTGGCCTGGAGAGCCCAGTTGAAGTAGTTTTACATCATGTGAAGGACTCTGTGGTCCTTCATTCCTGAAATGTCTTAGAAGTGTGTGGAAACAGGAGAGGATTTGCATCTGATTAGTCCTTAGACAGAATGTACTACCACCATGACCTGCAATAGGGTTTGTTTTTCAATACCAAACTTTGGGCAGATGATTTTTTAAGGACAACTTCCAGGTTCCACCATACTGTATAGCAGGGGTCCTCAAACTAAGGCCCGGGGGCCGGATACGGCCCTCCAAGGTCATTTACCCGGCCCTTGCTCAGGGTCAACCTAAGTCTGAAAAAACTTGAAAGCACCAACAATGATAACAATCCTATCTCATGAGCCAAAAGCAGGGCCACACTTCCCATTGAAATACTAATAAGTTTATATTTGTTAAAATTGTTCTTCATTTTAATTATTGTGTTTTTTTTTAGTGTTTTTTTGCACTCCAAATAATATATGTGCAGTGTGCATAGCAATTCATTCATGGTTTTTTCAAATTATAATCCGGCCCTCCAACAGTTTGAGGGACTGTGACCTGGCCCTCGGTTTAAAAAGTTTGATGACCCCTGTTTTACAGCATAGTATAGTGCAGGGGTCTTCAAACTATGGCTCGTGGACCAGCCCCGGCCCCCGGAGGGCATTTTTCCGGCCCGCATGGTGTGGAGAAGGGTGAGAGGCGGTGGGTGAAGCGGCTTCGGGGATGCTTTGCCCGCTGCCTCCCTGGGCCCAGCCTGCTCTTCTCCTGCCTTCGGGATGAGGCCTCACCTCATCCCAAAGGCTGAGAAGGTGGAGGCGAGCGTGTTAAGCAGCTTTGGGGCCGCTTCACCCATTGCCTCCCCAGGCCCAGCCTGCTCTTCTCCTGCCTTCGGGATGGGGCCTCGCCTCATCCCGAAGGCAGGAGAAGAGCAGGCCCAGCAGTTGAAGCGGCCCCAAAGCTGTTTCGCCCGCTGCCTCCCCCCTTCTCCTGCCTTTGGGATGAGGCGAGGCCGCATCCCGAAGGCAGGAGAGGAGCAGGCTGGGCCCAGGGAGGCAGCGAGCAAAGCATCCCCGAAGTCGTTTCACCCGCCGCCTCTCACCCTTTGGGGCTGCTTTGCCCGCTGCCCCCCCCCCCCCCCAAGTTTATATTTGTTTAAATTGTTCTTCATTTTAATTATTGTGTTGTTTTTTAGTGTTTTTTGCACTCCAAATAATATATGTGCGGTGTGCATAGCAATTCATTCGTGTTTTTTTCAAATTATAATCTGGCCCCCCAACAGTTTGAGGGACTGTGACCTGGCCCTCGGTTTAAAAAGTTTGAGGACCCCTGTTTTAAAGCATAGTATAGTGCAGGGGTCTTCAAACTATGGCTCGTGGGCCAGCCCCGGCCCCCGGAGGGCATTTTTCCGGCCCGCAGGGTGTGGAGAAGGGTGAAAGGCGGCGGGCGAAGCGGCTTTGGGGATGCTTTGCTCGCTGCCTTCCCTGGGCCCAGCCTGTTCTTCTCCTGCCTTCGGGATGAGGCCTCACCTCATCCCAAAGGCAGGAGAAGAGCGGGAGGCGGCGGGCAAAACAGCTTTGGGGCCGCTTCGCCCGCCACCTCCCTGGGCCCAGCCTGCTCTTCTCCTGCCTTCGGGATGGGGCCTCGCCTCATCCCGAAGGCAGGAGAAGAGGGGGAGGCGGCGGGCGAAGCAGCTTCGGGGCTGTTTCTCCCGCCGCCTCCCCCCTTCTCCTGCCTTTGGGATGAGGTGAGGCCGCGTCCCGAAGACAGCAGAAGAAGAGGCTGGGCCCAGGAAGGCAGCGAGAAAAGCATCCCCGAAGTCGTTTCACCCGCCGCCTCTCACCCTTTGGGGCTGCTTTGCCCGCTGCCCCCCCCCCGTTTATATTTGTTAAAATTCTTCTTCATTTTAATTATTGTATTGTTTTAAAGTGTTTTTTGCACTACACATAAGATATGTGCAGTGTGCATAGGAATTCATTCATGTTTTTTTCAAATTATAATCCGGCCCTCCAACAGTTTGAGGTCCTCTGTTTGAAAAGTTTGAGGACCCCTGCTGTATAGATTGATAGTGATTCTGAGAGGTACAGACTAAAAAGTCCATTTTCCAAGCTCTGTTGGAAACGTCTATGGGACATCAGTTTGGGGCTGGCTTATGGATCACGGTTTGCTGGCAAAGGCAGCCGCCAATTGACAATGTGTTGGGTCTTCAGCCAAGCAATATCCCATTAACGACCCTGACGGCGAGTTCTGCTAGACCAGCAGATTCCCACCTAGAAGCCCTCAAATGAAAATTGCTCCCATGTTGATCCATTGCCAGGTGGCTTGGCAGGAAAGAGATGGCAAGTTACCCACTCCTCCTAATTACGTGGGGCACCGCTGGGGGATATTAGGACGGCATCATCTCTATCCCAGATTTCCTCCATGAAGGATGGTGAAGGTCATGAAGAGCCCAAATGTTCATCATTCTTCATCTCCAATGCTTCCCTAGATTTGGCCTTGCTTTGGATCTCCAGCGTCGTCCTGAAAACATTGTACAGGTATGAATACAAAGAAGAACTGGATTCTAAAATTATCCTTCTAGTTTTTTCCCCATACAATAGCTCTATGGCAGTGGTTCTCAACCTTTCTAATGCCATATTTATTTATTGTGTCATCAGCAACCATACCACTGTGTTACATTTCTAACAGAACAAAACAAACACACAGATTAAAAAAAAAACAAACACAGATTTTGCAAACTTGGTAGTTGGTTAAATGTCCTTTGACCAGTATCTGGCCCCTTGGAGTGCCTCTGGTGTTGCCGCAAGAAGGTCCTCCATTGTGCATGTGGCAGGGCTCAGGGTGCATTGCAGCAGGTGGTCAGTGGTTTGCTCTTCTCCACACTCGCATGTCGAGGATTCCACTTTGTGGCCCCATTTCTGAAGGTTGGCTCTGCATCTCGTGGTGCCAGAGCGCAGTCTGTTCAGCGCCTTCCAAGTCACCCAGTCTTCTGTGTGCCCAGGGGGGAGTCTCTCATTTGCTATCAACCATTGGTTGAGGTTCTGGGTTTGAGCCTGCCACTTTTGGACTCTCGCTTGCTGAGGTGTTCCAGCGAGTGTCTCTGTAGATCTAAGAAAACTATGTCTTGATTTAAGTCGTTGACATGCTGGCTGATACCCAAACAGGGGATGAGCTGGAGATGTCACTGCCTTGGTCCTTTCACTATTGGCTGCTACTTCCCGGCGGATGTCAGGTGGTGCAATACCGGCTAAGCAGTGTAATTTCTCCAGTGGTGTAGGGCGCAGATACCCCGTGATAATGCGGCATGTCTCATTAAGAGCCACATCCACTGTTTTAGTGTGGTGAGATGTGTTCCACACTGGGCATGCGTACTCAGCAGCAGAGTAGCATAGCGCAAGGGCAGATGTCTTCACTGTGTCTGGTTGTGATCCCCAGGTTGTGCCAGTCAGCTTTTGTATGATGTTGTTTCTAGCACCCACTTTTTGCTTGATGTTCAGGCAGTGCTTCTTGTAGGTCAGAGCACGGTCCAGAGTGACTCCCAGGTATTTGGGTGCGCTGCAATGCTCCAGTGGGATTCCTTCCCAGGTAATCCTCAAAGCTCGGGATGCTTGTCTGTTCTTAAGGTGAAAGGCGCATGTCTGTGTTTTAGATGGATTAGGGATCAGTTGGTTTTCCCTGTAATAGGCAGTAAGAGCACCTAGAGCTTCGGAGAGCTTCTGTTCAACCATCTCAAAGCTCCCTGCTTGAGCAGTAATGGCACGATCATCAGCATAGATGAAACTCTCTGTCCCTTCTGGCAGTGGCTGGTCATTTGTGTAGATGTTAAACATGGATGGAGTAAGCACGCTCCCCTGAGGCAGGCCGTTCTTGTGGTTGCTTCTGTATTGAGAATATTCTAATGCCATGACCCCTTAATACAGTTCCTCATGTTGCGGTGACCCCCGACCATAACATTATTTTCGTTGCTCCTTCATAACTGCCATGTTGCTCCTGTTATGAATTGTAATGTAAATATCTGATATGCAGGGTGTATTTTTATTCACTGGACCAAATTTGGCACAAATTCCTGATACACAAAGATTTGAAAACTAGTGGGGTGGGGGGTATTGATTTTGTCATTTGGGAGTTGTAGTTGCTAGGATTTATAGTTCACCTACAATCAGAGAGCATTCTGAAACCCACCAATGATGGAATTGGGCCAAACTTGGCACACAGAACTCCCATGACCAACAGAAAATACTGGACAGGGTTTGGGTTAGGGTTTGGAGTTGTAGTTCACCTACATCCAGAGAGCGCTGCCCATCATCAAACAATGATGGATCTGGACCAAACATGACACGAATACTCAATATGCCCAAATGTAAACACTGGAGGAGTTTGGAGAAAACAAACCTTGACACTTGGGAGTTGTAGTTGCTGGGATTTATAGTTCATCTACAATCAAACAGCATTCTGAACTCCACCCAAACTTGGCATACAGAACTCTCATGATCAACAGAAAATGCTGGAAGGGTTTGGTGGGCATTGACCGGGAATTTTGGTGTTGTAGTTCACCTATATCCAGAGAGCAGTGTGGACTCAATCCATGATCGATCTGGACTAAACTTGGAACAAATCCTCCATATGCCCAAATGTGAACACTGGTGGAGTTTGGGGAAAATAGACTTTGATACTTGAGAGTTGTAGTTGCTGGGATTTATAGTTCACCTACAATCAAAGAGTATTCTGAACTCCACCAACAATTGAACCAAACTTGGCACACGGAACTCCCATGACCAACAAAACATACTGAAAGGGTTTGGTGGGTATTGACCTTGAGTTTTGGAGTTGTAGTTCATGTAAATATCTGATATGCAGGATGTGTTTTCATTCACTGGACCAGATTTGGCACACATACCCAAAAAGTCCAAATTTAAATACTTGTGGGGTTGGGAGGGATTAATTTTGTCATTCGGGAGTTGTAGTTGCTGGGATTTATAGTTCACCTACAATCAAAGAGTATTCTGAACTCCACCCACAATGGAATTGAACCAAATTTGGCACACGGAACTCCCATGACCAACAGAACATACTGAAAGGGTTTGGTGGGCATTGACCTTGAGTTTGGGAGTTGTAGTTCATGTAAATATCTGATATGCAGGAGGTGTTTTAATTCACTGGACCAAATTTGGCACGCATACCCAATACATCCAAATTTAAATACTGGTGGGGTTGGGAGGGATTAATTTTGTCATTCGGGAGTTGTAGTTGCTGGGATTTATAGTTAACCTTCAATCAAAAAGCATTCTGAACTATACCACTGATGGAATGGAACCAAACTTGGTACACAGACTTCCCATGGCCAACAGAAAATATTGGAAGGGGTTAGTGGGCATTAACCTTGAGTTTGGAGTTGTAGTTCACCTACATCCAGAGAGCAGTGTGGACTCAAACAATGATGGATCTGGACCAAAACTTAGCATGAATACTCAATATGGCCAAATGTGAACACTGCTGGAGTTTGAAGAAAACAGACCTTGAAATTTGGGAGTTGTAATTCCTGGGATTTATAGTTCACCTACAATCAAAGAGCATTCTGGACTCCACCAACAATGGAATAGAATCACTCTTGGCACACAGAACTCCCATGGCCAACAGAAAATATTGGAAGGGTTTAATGGGCATTAACCTTGAGTTTTGGAGTGTTAGTTCACCTACATCCAGAGAGCAGGAGGAGGGCTTTTGGTGGGAGGATTTGCCGTCTGTTTCCAAAAAGGAAGAGAGGGACAGGCGGAGAGAACTTCAGCCTTCTCTGCCAAAGGGGTTCCTAAGACTATTAGTAATATGTGTTTTCTTACGGTTTTTGGTGACCCCTCCGAAATCCCCTCATGACCTCCCCAGGAGTCCCAATTCCCAGGTTGAGAAACACTGCTCTATGGAATTAGATTGGATTAGGAGAAAAAAATTACCTCAAGGTTACACAGAGATGGAAAAAAGTGGTAATTCTCATGTCAGATGGAGAGTGAAATCACCAGACAT